GGTCGCGTCGTGATTCAGTAGGTACCACGATGTTTTCAAGATACTATAGAGACGTACTCGTATTTTTCCATCTAAACTGGTCCTTTTTACGGAACAAGAAACATTTATCTGTACATGAAATCCAAAGGATGATTATGGCGTTCAAAATCATTCTTTGGATATTATGATTCCTATCTTTTTAATCGTGAAAAGTGTAAATCCATAAACCGTGCTCACGGTTGTAAAGATAAAGTTGTAACAGTCGTACACAATGGATTACGGGTAGAGCCACGCTGTGCCTGGAATTATGTGTGCAGTACGAACACAGAGTAAAGAGTAGTAGGTTTCTTTACTCATGTGGTACGAATGGGTCGGCTTGATCTGGGAAGGAAGACGCTCTTTGTGTTTCGTGTATTGTAGTAACGACAGATTACATCCTTTACATACTTTGTGCATGAAAGATTAAATAAATAAATAATTAAAATAAAAGTCAGGACAGGATTTAGATTAAACGATTTATACAATCAGTTCAATCATTTTTATCACAAAGGATCTTACAGTCCATCTAATTGGAAGTGGTCACTGCAGCCCATAAACTTAGACATTACAGCGGCAAAATCTAAGCAGGGAAGGCTGCAGGTGCATATACTAGTCGCCTCTAAGCGATAAAGTTCTGTGACGAATACCATCGATATAATTTAAAATTAAATTATTAAGAATAACTTAAAAACCTATTGGCCAGACCTTCATCAAATTAATATGGGACCACGTGTGAAGTACCAGCTTTCAAATAAAAAAAGAATCACTGAAATCGGTTCACCCAGTAAAAAGTGAGATGAGACACATAAAAAAAAAACATACAGTCGAATTGAGTACCGGCTCCTTTTTGAAGTCGGTAGAAAAACCAAACTAAAATTGAATTAGGGTTTTGGAGGAAACTTGACCGCTGGTGGATTACTGCCCCTGTATTATTGTTTATACTATATTGGTTTGAAGTGGGTTTTGATTATATAAATTTGATGCGGTTTTGTGTATTAAACGTCTGCGCATGTGACCTATTAGTGAAAAATTTATTGCGACTGCTATGATATTATCGTCGTCGACTGTCTGCTGGCTCAAGCTATTGTCAAAATCTATACATATAAAAATGGATCGCTGAATGTATTGCTAAGCGCAAATCTCGAGAGCAGTTGAACCGATTTCGCTAATTCTTTTTTTATAATATTTCTTGAAGTACGAAGATGGTTCTTATGGAGTGAAAAATTTAAAAATTGCCTGAAAAAGTCTAAAAACAACACTTTTCTATATTCCCATACAAAAAATTCGTAATAATACTTAAAACTCAATTTGAACTTTAATACCATACCATAAAGTTTAAGTGTTAGTGGAGGGGTTCCGGGATGGCAAAACAATTAAGTGACATTCATCATCATCATCATTACAGCCCTTCACAAGTCCACTGCTGAACATAGGCCTCCCCCAAAGAATGCCACAAAGCACGGTCCTGAGCCACCTGCATCCAACGACTTCCTGCATGTCTTACCAGGTCGTCACTCCATCTCGTGGGGGGACGCCCTACACTTCGCCTACCGGTACGAGGCTGCCACTCGAGAACCTTTCTTCCCCATCGGTTGTCGGTTCTTCGAGCTATATGGCCGGCCCACTGCCACTTCAGCTTACTAATTCGTTGGGCTATGTCGGTTATTCTGGTTTTACTGCGGATATCCTCATTCCTAAGTTTATCACGCAGAGAAACTCCGAGCATAGCCCTCTCCATAGCTCGCTGAGCGACCTTGAGCTTCCTCATACGGCCAGCAGTGAAGGACCACGTCTCAGTTCCGTAAGTCATCACTGGCAACACGCACTGGTTGTACAATTTCGTTTTAAGGTTTTGAGGTATGTCTGACGAGAAGATGTGTCGTAGCTTCCCGAACGCTGCCCAGCCGAGTTGAATCCGTCGATTGACCTCTCGGTCGAAGTTGGACTTACCTAGTCGGACTATTTGTCCCAGGTAAACATACTCGTCAACAACTTCGAGCTTAGTGCTCCCAACAACTACCGGCATAGGTGTGACATGGACATTAAACATAATCTTTGTTTTGTCCATGTTCATCTTAAGACCTATCCGTTGGGAAACACTATTGAGGTCATTGAGCATAGTGCTTAGGCCCTCCAGCGATTCTGCCATAAGGACTATATCGTCGGCAAATCGAAGGTGAGTGATGTACTCGCCATTGATGTTGATACCGTATCCTTTCCAGTCCAGAAGCTTGAAAACGTCTTCCAATGCAGCGGTGAAGAGTTTCGGGGATATGACGTCACCCTGTCTTACACCTCTCTGCAATTGGATAGGTTTCGTACTCTGGTTCTGTACTCGGATAGCCATCGTAGCCCTACTGTACAAGCACTTCAACACTTCGATATACCGACAGTCAACTTGGCACCGCTGAAGGGACTGCAGCACCGCCCAAATTTCGACGGAATCAAAGGCTTTCTCATAGTCCACATACGCCAGACATAGTGGCAAATTGTACTCTTCGGACTTCTGTACAACTTGCCGAAGGGTATGTATGTGGTCTATGGTGCTAAAGCCCTTTCGGAAACCGGCTTGTTCGGGAGGCTGGAAGTCGTCAAGTCTGCGCGCGAGACGATTCGTAATGACTCTCGAAAACAGCACGTAGACGCGGCTCAGAAGGGAAATCGGTCTGTAGTTCTTCAAGAGAGCGTTGTCACCTTTCTTGAAGAACAAGACCACCGCACTTCTGCTCCACGCCTCCGGTGTAATGCCACCATGGAGGACGGAATTAAAGAGCTTCTGAAGGACTTCAAGTACCGGTCTTCCACCCGCTTTCAGAAGCTCCGCTGTTATTCCATCCTCGCCTGGGGCCTTACCGTTTTTAAGGTGCTGGAGAGCCATTCTAATCTCGCTCAGACTGACGTCCGGGATATCTTCGGAATAGTGTCGGATGAGACTCGCTCTTGGATCGTTACTCACACTTGCGTGTGGCTCCAACGATGACGTGTACAGCTGCCCATAGAACCTCTCAATCTCACTCAAAATCTCAGGTGTCCCGGAAACGATGTTGCCACATTCTGTCTTCAGCTTTGACAGTTGGCTCTTTCTGGCAGACAGATCTCTGGCAAAGACTTTGGAGCCTTGGTTCCGCTCGATCGCTTCTTCAATACGAGCTGTATTGAAGTTGCGTAAGTCCCGCCGCATGCATTTTGAGATCTGTCTGTTCAGATGCCTGTATGCTGTCAAGTCTGTTGAAGAATGTAGCTTCATCTCCCGTCTAACAGCCATGAGATTAAGAGTGTGATCGGAGAGTTTTTGTGTTCTTCTGCGGCGGGTCTTGCAGAACTTAGCTCCGACCGCATGGACAGTTTCCACGAGCTTGTCATTCATATCGTCCACTTCATTGCAGTCTTCTAGGCACTGAAAACGGTTTTGTAACTCGAGCTGAAAGGTTTCGGGACTTTGGATTAGAGCACGAGGGGGACGGAGCGTTGACTTCATTAGACGAGACCTCTCCAACTTAACGTTTAGGTTCAGTGTGCCTCTAACCATTCGGTGATCGCTACCAGTTTTCACCCTTGCGATCACGGAGACATCACTGAACAGTTGTCGTCTGGTCGTCATAATGAAGTCAATCTCATTTTTTGTCGAACCGTCGGGGCTCGACCAGGTCCACTTCCTGTGGGGCCGCTTCTGGAAGAAAGAGTTCATCATAAAGAGTCCCTCTTTCTCCATGAAGTCGGCCAGCTGCTGGCCCCTTGGGTTCCGTTGCCCTATTCCAAATTTCCCTACCTTCAGCTCACCGTTCTCTCTTGTGCCTAGTTTTGCATTGAAGTCTCCCATTAACACCGTATATTGGGTTTTGGAGGAATGCATGGCTCTAGAGATATCCTCATACATTTCCTCCACCTCCTGATCGGGGTGTGCCGAGGTTGGTGCGTAAACCTGTATGACCTTCAGCGAATACCGTTTGGTGATTCTGAGTATAAGGTACGCAACCCTCGTCGACACACTCCCGATCTTTACAACGTTGTTAACGAGAGACTTGTGGACGATAAATCCGACACCTCCTTGGGACAGATGGTCGCCCTCCCGGTGATAGAGCAAGTTGCCGGATTCGAGGATTACCGTGTCCTCCCCCTCTCTTCGGACTTCGGATAATCCTATAATATGCCAGCGCAACTTGTCTATCTCTTCTTCCAGCTCCACGATCTTCTCGTCAGTCCTCAGGGTGCGTGCGTTGTACGTTGCCAGGTCGAGTCGTCTAAGGTGGCAACCGAACCTCCACCGGAGATTCTTAGCACCCCCTGCCCCGCCGTTACCATGGTCGCCACCGTAGCCAGGGCGAAGCCAACATTTTTTTCCGAAATGTTCAAAGGGGCGCAGATCCTATGCTGTTCAAGCACTGCTACATTACAACCGCGCTGGAGATTGTAGGGGAAGCCACTAGATTTTTTAGGTAGAGTCTGAGCCTCCTTTGGTTTACGCCGAAAAAAAATATTGGCTGTCTTATCTATATGTCTTTTCTTAGATTTTGATTCTCCTCCATCACGGTAACAAATTATAAGGCTGGCATTTAATGAATATACTGCTAGCGGTCGATGGTTGCCCGTACAGATCCTACTGCTATCTTCTTTAATTGCCTTTTACCACACCAGTTGGACGAAATTGGTTAGATGATGCTTCCTGGATTCATGACATATCATCCATCTATCGAAATTCATGAGATCTTTTCAACTCTTACGACACCACGTCATTGGAGAGAATATGATCCCTGGATCAATAGAATATTCCCATATATAGAAAGCAAAAAGATCTCTTTCGACAAGATTTGGGAGTAATACATTGTCTAATGCTACCACCTCAAACTACCAAAGTCGGTAGGATAAATCCCTAAAAAACCGATGTTGTAGATCTGTATTCACAACAGACGAATGAGTGACGTAGTGATTGTACAAAATACAAAAGCATTCCGTGTCGCTGTGTTGATGCCAGCGCGCCGCTCAGTCGATGTCTAAACACTCGTACATGCACGTCTTCAAACGCCGGGAAAAATTATACAACAGTGACACTTGTGAAAGAAAAAAGTGCGCGTGAACCGCTTTGACACCGTTTTCAGCGGGAACTGGGAAGCAAGTCTCCCGCTGCGTTCCGGTATGATTTACAGTTAAAGTTACAGTATATTTTGTTACAAGACACTTTACTTTATTGAAGTAGTTGTGCCATATCTTCCAATTCATTCAAATTCGCAATAAGATACTTTTAATTTTGATCTATATTTAACTTTTGAGTCAAAATAAATACGAGTATACCTACCTACTTACGAAGATTGTTTGGTTGATAAAATTGGCCCATAATGCGTTAGTTATTTATCATTCTACTTCCAAATAATAAATAAATGCAATTCAAAATGGTTTTAGGTGCTATAAGCATATCGTCCAAATTTCTTTGAAGTAATATGGTTTGTCGTTTTTCACTTTCGACCTGCACAACAACTATATTTACCTCGGTAATTCGTGAGCGTTGAGTTTTCGTGAGAGAAAACGCGAGACCGTTTCACTTTTCAGCGCTCAAGGTCGCCCATTTTATGGTTTTTACAACGCTTTATTATTGCGTTGAGACATTGAGATTACAAAGTCACGTATCATGTGGTGCCCATGAATTCCATTTACGAAATATTATCATCACAAACACATAAATTTTACTAGTCTTTGTTTTTTAATGTACGAGGCAAGTCTTCAAGTCCGCGGAATAAAGGGGAAGGAGTGGTGATAAAAGTAATTTCTTACCTAACGTACCTAACTTTTTATGGGATAAGGGTGACAAAGGAGCACACAGTCTACCTGATGGTAAATGGTTCCTGTGGCCTATAGACATCTACATCTATCCTCGATTAAAAATCAAAATGCAGATGCGTTGTCAGTTGTCACCCGTGAGGACTAAGATGGAATGCCTCGTTTCCAGTAAAAAGGGTCTCCGGTTCTCTACACTCACCATACGAAACACAGCAGCGTTAAGCTGACAAAATATTTTTGCTGCTGGGACGCAAAGGGTATGGTCATTGCTATCAAATAAAGCTTAAGAAATTAGCCGAGCGATAAGAGAAAACGGCCAAGACGTACTTCAATTCACTTCCGTCATGAAAAGTACCTGAGCTAAGTTGTGATGTATTTCCACATCTTCCGTACTCTCCAGGTATTTCTCTCCCCTTCCTCTCCATATAAAAAAAATATTTCTACCTTCATGAATAACTGTGGTTTGGTTTATTTATTTTTCATCTAATTAATATAAATATAACTAACACAATGTACAGAAAGAAACATTAACCTTCACATTTTTGAACAAATTAACATCGCCGCTATAAAATCTGTCAAATATTACACCTTATTTTTAAGTGGCGCCGCCCTGGTGGCAGAAAAAGTCGTGGATTAATGCTCAAGATTGTCTTTGTATACCGGTATACCGGGCTTAGCTTTGTGTTATTTACTCTTTCATCCTTTTGTCTGTCACAGTTGTCACGATCACTGAGCGCTTAGTCGACGAGTTAGTAAAATCTTTAAAAAGCGGTGCTATTGAAAATAGACCACTTTATAGGACTTATGACAGCATCAGGAGGCATCAGATGAAATGATGAAACAAGTTCGCTTTAAGTATCTTCTACACAAATCGTACATTCGTGTTTTAGTATAGGCAAAAAACAACAGAATGCAAAAATAATTATCATTACAATATCAAAGTTTAAACAGAGTAATGATCAAGGTGACGGCCATGTCATACCAATAAATGTCACTGAAGCTATTCCATTCAAACTGTTTACTTCAACTTCGATTACACCGCAAGGACTTGTGGTCGGTCTTGGTGTTATTTCTGAAACAGTGGTAAAAGCATAAATGACTTTCAATAGATAAACTGTCTTGTAATCGATATCTTTATATATAACATTAATTCTTCTGTCCGTGTATATGTGATTGAACTCCTCCTAAACGGCGGCTGGACCGATTTTGATGAAATTGTGTACGTGTGGTTAAGTTGATTCGAGAATGGTTTAAATTTTTAATTGCACCCGGTAGGTGGCGCTGTTTTTGAGATCCAGAAATCACCCGTGCGAAGCCGAGGCGGTTTTCTATTCCATTCTATTCTATTCTATTTTTTTTTCATTTTGATCAAGGTCTGACCAATAGTTTTTGAGTTATTCTTAATAGTTTAAATTGAAGTCGGTCGTACAAAATTTTTAATTTTACCACTTGTAATATACAAAATTTTTAAAACAAAAAAAAATTAAAATTAAGTTATACCAAAAAAATTGTTACATTAAATTTGAAATAACGTGAAATGGCGGCATAAGATAGTCCACTCACTGCCCCATATGCCGTGGGTGTCTTAAGAGACGACAGGGGGTAATTAAACTGGAGCTGAGCTATAGAAATGTACTTGACAACAACTCATATTAAAAATCTAATGATAAATGATAAAATGATGATGATGACGAAAATAACCATTTTTAAAAACTTTGTCCGTCTGTCTGTCTGTCGGTCTGTCTGTTCGTCCTGGCCAATCTTCGAAATGGGTGAAACGATTGTAATGAAACTTGACGAACATATAGAGAGCAATGCCATTACTAAAATATGACGAAATAAATAATGCTATATCTAAAAAATTGCAAATTATTAACATTGAACCAATTTACTAAATTACACTGGCACTAAAACGAAATGCATAAAATTCATGACTCCAAGTGTCAAACAATTAAATACTAATGTAATTTTAAATTCGGAGGAACTGAGTCTTGTTTTTCTTTAGTCACCATTTTTCTTGGAATCACACACAACACCAACACGCACACACACATATATATATAAAAATTTCGTGTCACATTGTTTGTCCGCGATGAACTCGTTCCCCATTGAACTAATTTCAATGAAATTTTGCACACTGTGTGCAGTTTGGTCCAACTTGAGAGATAGGATACTTTTTATCCCGATGAGTGTGACCTGTAGTGACCTTTAATATTTATTATTGCGAATTTAAGAATTTTTTTATAGGAAGGGGCGTCGGAAAGGGCAGAACAACGTCTGCCTGGCCAGCTAGTATAAAATATATATAGTATATATATACATATATGTACTACGGAATCACACTAGACGCGAAGCTTCCCCCTTGGAACCCCCATATATCAAAACTAGTAAGTTCTGCAGCATATTATGATGTAAAAAAGATTAGAAATCTTACCAGTGTTGAAACAGCCAGATTAGTTTACTTTAGCTGTTTCCATAGCATAATGTCGTATGGTATTTTGCTATGGGGGCACGCAGCTGATACTGAAATTTTGTTTTACAGAAGAGCGCCATAAGAGCAATTTATGATTTAAAGCCTAAAGAGTCGTTGCGACAAAAATATATGGAAATTAATATATTAACTTTTGCCTCTCAATATATTCATGAAAATGTCATGTACGTACAAAAATATAAAAGTAGTTTTATAAAAATAAGTGATATTAGACATAAAAATAAGTAAATAGGAACAGACACAAACTAGTACAGTTACTCGACTCCACCGAGTCAGTAATTCATTCTTGGGGTTGGGGCGATGTATACACTTTTACAACAAAATTCCAGAAAATATACAAAATTTGACCTGCTCAAAGTTCAAAAACTTTATTAAACTAAGTTTGTATAAAAAGGGTTATTATAATATTAAGGAACTTATGTATGAAAATAACCCCTGGAAATGAGGTGATCGCTACCAAGCTATTTCTAATTTGTTGTGTTGTAAATTTATGTAATATACATGATTGTAAAGTGTTATTTAAAAAAAGTCCCGCTGGGTTTCTTGCTGGTTCTTTCCAGGACAGAGTTTTGTTTCGAACCAGTGGTAATGAAACAAAAGAGTCACTTTCAATAAGTATTATTTATAATCTATATTGAATAAAAAAGTTTCTGTTTTTGTTTATAATTTATCCAAAACATTTGGCGATTTTTTTTGTGAAAAATGATTTTTTTTTAAAGTAGACTTAAATGATCTTTTATTATTAAGTGGCGAAGCTTGCGAAGTCACTTATTGATTTCACGATGTCTGTCCGTCTGTCCGTCTGTCCTACGATTATCTCGAGAACGGTTTTGAATTTTCAAATTCTGTTTTCAGCAATCGATCACTGATCACCCAGGCATCTGAACCTCCTATTTTGAAACTGATTGCTCAACGGCAACCGTTAGAAACCGCTACAAAGCTGATTGCTTCGCCACTTTGCTATGCTGTTAGCTTGCTAGGTTTATTGATTTCACGATATCTGTCCGTCTGTCCGTCTGTCCCACGATTATCTCGAGAACCGTTTTGAATTTTCAAATTCTGTTTTCAGCAATCGATTACTGATTACCCAGGCATCTGAACCTCCTATTTTGAAACTGATTGCTCAACGGCAACCGTTAGAAACCGCTACAAAGCTCATTGCTTCGCCACTTTGCTATGCTGTTAGCTTGCTAGGTTTATTTTAGACTAAATAACGCCATTCTACCTATCCTACCAACCATACCATGCCGTAGAGTGGCTCGCTATTGGATAAATAAATTTGAAACGCAATGCGAGCTATTTTGTACAGATTTCAAATAAATCGTTTATCCGGCTCTCGTACAGGTGATTTTGGCAGTAATTGACCGCCATGACACATTGGCTCTTCATGAGTCAAGCGCCGGAGGGCTTAGAACTCGTTGCAGAGCGGTGGGTGTTTGGCACCGATCCCTGACTGAAATAGCGTGCGTTTACACATACGGGACGTTGCCACTAATTCGTTAAATAAAAAAATACTGTCTATTTATATTTTTTTGCGCATTTGTTTTGGACAAAAGATTACGGAGGCAATGATCCCGTAACCAGATGTTAGTGATCTCTCGCTCCTTTGTGATTATTTGGTAGGTTTTTTTTAAATGTTTTTGGCATTTTACACTCTTGCAATGTAACAGCAGGCCGGCGAGTAAATAGTATACCTAGTATTTCTAATGGAAGTTCCATGTCCAGCGGTGGATCAGTAAGGTAAGGGGATTTAGAGTTAAGTTTGAGGGGGGTCGAATCAAGAGTTTTTTTTCTTTCTTTTTCACGACATTCTTTTATCTCGACGTAAGAAGCATTATTATAAAAGTTATATTTAGTTTGGGGGATGGGGGAAGGAGGTCATGACCCTTTCAAAAGATAAGGTCGTCGTACAAAATATAATAATAGTTATAAATGTTTTGTACAACGACGTCACGGTCTCAAGCTACTATGTGAGTACAATATGAAATTAATTTAAGTCGTCAAACAAACAATAATATAATAGTTATTCCATTCCTTACTGCGTGGATATTTATTATTTATTCAAATAAAACATAAGACTTAAATAAGCTAATACGACTTACATTCACCATTGATTACAATCTATAAAGTCCGCAGTTGAAGATAGACGTCCCCATAAATGCTTCAAAATTCAAAAGGGGGATTTTTGTCATAGTCGCCACGCTTGGCGAGCGCAATAATTTTTATTTTATAGTTAGTGTTATTAGAAAGACGCTGCTGCCCTGCTCCCTGTGGTTTGTTTCCCTCTGTCGCCTCATACGACACCCACGGCACGATATAGTGATTATTCTTACACTGCCACTACACGGTCACTAGTAACAGTTTTAACACCGTTATCATTGCCGTTACAGCATATTAAAGTCCGCTGCTGAACATAGGCCTCCCCCATAGATTGCCTCATAGGGGGCATATTTGCAATAGTTGTAATGTTACTGTTGATTTGAAAACACCTCTCAGTGGGTCATGTGCTCCTGGTAGATTATCTTCTATACATCCATCCTGTTGGCCTATTAAAGTGCACTGTTGAACATAGGCCTCCCTTATAGATTGCCTCATAGTCCTCATATCCTCTATATTTGCCATACTTGTAAATGTTATTGTTGATTTGAAAACACCTCTCAGTGGGTCATGTGCTCCTGGTAGATTATTTTCTATACATCCATCCATTACAGCCTGTTAAAGTCCACTGTTGAATACAGGCCTCCCCCATAGATTGCCTTATAGGGGGGATATTTGCCATAGTTGTTGTTGGCAACTGCAGTTTTTTTTATTTTTAGTCGGTATTAGGAAGACGCTGCTGTCCATCTTCTGATTTGTTTCCCTCTGTCACCTCTTACGACACCCACGGGATGTAATGGAGTACCTTGTAGATATTCTTACACCGCCGCTACTCGGTAACTGTTTTAATAATTACGATAGAATTTATTAAACGGTGATAAACCACGACCGGGAAGGACCACGCTCTCACAGAATACCAGCGTAAAATAGCAGCTTAACACTGCTGTGTTTCGTATGGTGAGTAGAGAACCGGAGACCCTTTTTACTGGAAAAGAGACAACGCATCTGCATTTTGATTCACAAACGAGGACAGATGTAGATGTCTATGGGCCACAGCAACCACTTACCATCAGGTGGACTGTGTGCTCGTTTGTCACCCTATCCTATAAAAAAGAACGTGCGGTATGCGTATGTTTATACAAACATTACTTACCAAGTGAATATTACCATGCATATATTTGTCCTTATCAGACACCACAAAGCGTTGAAACGACAAACCACATAGTGGCGCAGCGCACACGCTTCGTCAACGTGCTGGAAAGTATGAGAGTTTTCCATGAGTATGACTGACTTCGAACAATGTTACATAATTCGCTCTTAAATATAAACTTCGAATTATATTCACGCAACTTATTGTATTATTTTAAGAGGTCAACAAAACTAATGAAAATAGGAATCAAGCCTCAATCAGAGCAATAATACAACCTACTTCGAGAAACGAGAATAATCAATTTATTTCGCCATAATATATATCGATTTTAAATTAGTTTTTTCTTTTTTTTTTAAATACGTTACCCCCACACTAGGATTTTCTCCTGTATCGTAGAGGCAGTTTACAAACACAAATTGCACAAGGACAAACATCCAGACCCGGGACAATTATTTGTAGGCCATACAAATACTTTTTCCGTCCGGGATTCGAACCCGCGCCCCCCAGCGCCGCAATTCACTGCTAAGCCACTGCGCCACGGAGTTATTCGAGTCAAGACCATATTTCCACGATTAAATCATTGTTCATCTTCTTTATTGCTAGACATAGGCTCTGTTTTTGTAGGGAGGATTTGCCAAAATTACAACGCTTGGCAGATGGTAGGCGATCTCTGTGCCAGACGTCTCACACTTTTGACGCTAATTCCCGCCGCCGCCGGTCTGGATTGTAACTATTAAAGATGTTAAAAAATATTTGTCAAGACCCGCATCGGAAATAAAATCATATGTCTTACATACACATCTATTACTACTATCGAGGAAAAAACGCTTTGACGGAAGTGATAAAAGGATTTTCCATTGATCTTAAAGTACCTATAATTGCTGCATGTACCTACAACTTTGTTTAATACTATTAATTATTAAGCTATTCCATTCTGTATACACTATTCTAACTCATAATATCTGTGAAAACTATTAGAAAATCGCTCTTAGTTTGTTTTAAGATGATATTCATATTTCATTTGTTAATTTCTCAGAATTCCCGTTAGATGCGATAAAACTAATATTAGTTTGATAATCTATGTATAGATTATAAGGAATAAATCGACATACATTTCATTAAAATTCCCTAAAATTCGTGGTGGGCCCAGTCTCCATACAAACAGAAATTGTGTCCTTTAAAATGTGTTTAATGCGTGAAGTGGCGGTGTAAGAACATCCACTGTCCCATATCGTCCTGTGCCGTCCGAGGAATCGGTGTTCTCTGTGAACACCTACAGGATCGCCCCCGTCACTACATTAGATTTGATAGACCACAAATTCTCGCTAAAGAACACCGATTCCTCCCCAGGATGATTCGCGAGGCTATTGAAATTAAAAAACATCCTAATTTCAATAGAGAAGATGGCTGGGTGCTACCATCTGCTTGGGATCCTATAATTAATAAAATTAAATCCCAACCCAAGCATACAACTGCAAGACTTCATGATACTGTAAGTTCATACTGCGTAGATCGGACAAAAATTAATAATTTTTAATCTGAAGGTAGCCGTGGTTAACTGTGACATTGGGACGTCATACACCTCAGTCCCCCCCCCCCCCCCCCGTGACCATGGGTGCTGAAAAGTGCCCGAAACGTCGGGAATATAAAATAAGTTAATATACGCGATAAATTAGTCCGAAATAAAGTAAAATCCGAAAAATTTGTTTTATTTAAATGTGTAGTGTTCGCGTAAATATAAGAAATAACTCGCGTAATATAAAAAATCTAACGGTTTGGTACAAAGTTCTACTTTAAATTACTGCTCGAGAGATGTAATTGCTCGAGCTTGTTTGTATGAAGCCTTTATCAACCACAATCTTTCGTTATCAGGTTCCTTATCTCTACGCTGCATACCAGTGATGCATTATTTTATACCAGAACGTGCGGGAGACTTGCATTTTCATAAATATTACACGATTACACATCTTTACTTTACACACTAACAGTATTGTTAAAATTCAGTCTTTACAATGTGTACACAGGTTGCTGTATAAATTAATAAATGAAACAAAAATAGTGTGGTTATAATTCAAATCGTTAAGAATGTCAATCAGAGGTGTTCAAGATGGCTCCAGATCACCTATGATGATCACTGATTCGTTTTTCGACGATGGAGGTAAGTAGTTGTTTTTCTATAGCAGTGTTTGGCTTTAATTAGACTATGGGTCCATGGGGTCCACGTACGGTAAAGTTCCTAAAGGAACTCCATCCGCGGCTGGTCGTTGCTGCTCGTGATAAGAGGGCTGGTTCTTTTCTCGCTCAAAGGCTAAGAATAGCCATTCCGATACCGCGGGGAGTAGGACTGTATGATAATTAAGTTACTAGTTTTAGTTTTTTTAATACTGTATATAAAATAAAATATTGTACCTATATTAATAATTATTTATGATGTATATGAAATAAAAATAAACATACATACATAAACACTCACACCTGTCACCCAGAGGGGTAGTCAGAGACTACGGACTTCCATTTGGCGCGATCCTGACACACCTCTCTCGCCTCTTTTACATCCATATATCTACGCATACACGCTCGTCGGTTAAGGGTACCCCTTTTTCAAAAATAATCTAAAAAATATATATATATAATAAAAATATAAAAAAATGAAATATAAAGTTATTTACTATCCCATGGCGACATAATAATTAAAGCTTTTTTCTTAAAAAAAAAAAGTTGAAGTGCAAGCAGAATAACCCAGATCCGACAGTTATTTGTAGTCTATACAATACTTACATCGAGAATCAAACCCGCATTATTCGGTGTCTCAGTCAAAAGCTAAGGGTAACCAATGGGACCCTATTCCTAAGTCTCCGCTGTCCGTCTGTCTGTCTGTCCGCGGGCTGTATCTCATGATCCCTAATAGGTAGACATATGAAATTTTCACAGAATGTGTATTTCTGTTGCCGCTATAACAAAAAATAATAAAAATAAAAATAAATGGAAAATTAAAGGGGGCTCACCCAAACGTGGAAACGTGTTTTACGATGGCACGGAAACCTTCATGCGCGAGTCCGACTCGCACTTGGGCGGCTTTTTATTCATCATCCCTTAGTCACTGCTAAAAAGAGCCTTCTCCATTGAACTGAGGATTTACCTTGAAAGTCACACCTTTGACGGGCATCGCATTACCAAACGATTCACACCTTTTCACTGCTCCCAGTCCGCAGTCTAAGTACGTTCGGCGTAAACATGGTAGAGCCATGATGCAGCTATATTAGTGGTAAAGTTGTAGCTCGAATGGGTCGGCTCGGCCGCGGAAGGACCACGATCTCGCAGAATGCTAGCTGAAAATAGAAGTTTACAATGACACTTGTACTGGATACGATGCATTCCATCTCAGTTCTCAGGGCGGACAACGCCTCTACATTTTGATTCTCAATTAAGGATAAATGTAGGTGTCTATGAGCCAACAGAATCCACTTACCATCAGGTGGGCTGTGTGCTCACTTGTCACCTTTATTCTATATAAAAAAAACAAATTTGAATTATTTTATTTTACAATTTACAATTACATATTTGTATACATATTTGTGATATTTGCTGTAGAGACTATCGGTTCGTAGGGTTTACGTGTGGTAAAGTTCCTAAAGGAACGCTGTGCGTCACCATTGCTAGTAATAAGACGGCCATTCAGTGAGGAAACGCAGCCACTAGAGATTATATGCATTTGCATATTTGCATATGCAAATGCAAATAACTCTCTAATTACGGCGTTAATGCATATTTTAGCCTTTTTCCCAATCGTACATATTTCGTTTTGTAGCGGGAGGTATGTATAGGAACTTAGGAACCTAGGTGACGAAGACGTGGAGGGCGCGAGCGCAGTGGCTAACTGAACTGACTGGCCAAATTTTAAATTTTATCCAATGACGTCAGTTGATGTAGAGAGGTCGTTTTCGGCATACAAATTGATACTGAGTGACAAACGTCACTGCGCTAGAAAATTTGGAAAAGTACTTATTGTCATAAAAACTATGCAAAATTTTTAAACATTTCGCTGTATTTGTACCGTCTGTAATTAAAATATATAAAAATAAAAAAGGTTTTTTGATTTTACATTGTGCATATATTGGGCATATCAACAGTTTTAAGTGCATAGTTCGGCCTTTTTAGTGCATATTTGCATGCATATTTTGGCACTTTGTTAGTGCATATAATTCGATGTCTAGTTATGATGTATGTAAATATTTATAATAATAAATTCGGTATTGAGACAAAATTTATTGAACTGATACAGTGGATTTTCGTTATATCTTATTATCCTTTTAGTAAGTTGTAACACTAGATAAATCATCATCATCATCATCATCATCATTACAGCCCTTCACAAGTCCACTGCTGAACATAGGCCTCCCCCAAGGTATGCCACAAAACACGATCCCGAGCCACCTGCATCCATTGACTTCCTGCATGTCTTACCAGGTCGTCACTCCATCTAGTGTCGGGACGTCCTACAGTTCGCCTGCCGGTACGAGACTGCCACTCGAGAACCTTTCTTCCCCATCGGTTGTCGGTTCTTCGAGCTGTATGGCCCATTGTCACTTCAGCATACTAATTCTTTGGTCTATGTCGATTACTCTGGTTCTACTGCGGATATCCTCGTTTTTAAATCTATCACGCAGAGAAACGCCGAGCATAACCCTCTCCATAGCTCGCTGGTCTTATTTATCTAGTGAAGGACTAGTCCTGCACCAGATAAATAAGAACACGTAATATATTAAACGTATGTAATATTTTTTTATATTAAAACAGGTAAGTACGTTGGGGTAATACCGGACGGATTTTCGAATAGTTGGAAGAGTCTGCCAAAAACTTTAATTTCTCGACATTCGTATACATCAGATTTATGGAACATGGAGCAAACCGTTAATCGTTAAACGTAGTTTAGCTCTGAGAATCTTTTGCTTGTGTAAACTCAACGGTTTCTGCTTTATAGGTGTGCAAAAACTAGACATATTTTTTTATATGCATAATGAAAAATTGGCCATTAAGGGGTAAGACCGGACTTAAATTTAAAACCACTTCTACTGCTTAGAGAAAAAAGTTTATAAAAGAGATTTGTCCTATCTTTAACGCTCAAAAACATATTTCAATATGATCTATAAATTACTAGAAACATAAATGTTCCAAACGATTTTCTCTTTTTTTGTTTCTTGCCATCCGATCTTATCCCTGATATAAAGAAATTGTAATTTTATGTTTCTCAAACTTTGTTATGACATAAGATGGAATTACTCAATATAAGAGAAAGATCGGATGCATTTGATTTTATATGGGAAAAAAAATAACAGTAAGGACTGGCGAAATGCCCTGGGATAATGCAGGAGTTAAGGAAGATATAAATATTTTAACAAAGCGGCATTTATTATTATAAATTATTTTTTAAATAATTATTATAAATTACATTTTGATTTGTAATAGAGGATAGATATAGATGTCTATGGGCCGCAGCAATCACTTAACATCAGGTGGACTGTGTGCTCCTTTGTCACCCTTATCCTATAAAAAAATGTATTTTAATGTGAACTTAAAAGTAATAAAACCATCATATTGTTTTATTACTTTTAAATATACAGACTTGCTAACGAGACTGAGTCCCATAGTCACTTGAGTAATCAACGAAAAAATATACACGGCCAATGAAAGTTTAACAACCACTGCCATATTTGTAACAGGCAAAGATCGGATAATATTCATCCGATCTTTACTCACGAGGGGAAACATCGGATCTCGGCCTACAGCGATGTTAGCCCTGCATGGACCAGCTTTATTTAGCTATAACTTCATAAAAATTAGTATCCACACAAAATAATAACAAAAGAAGCCATATTCTCGCTAAAAATCGTAAATAAAAGTGATAGGGAAAGATCGGATGGACAAAAATAATACAAAAATTACATTGTTTTATAAAATGCCACGTAGCACAGGTCCCACTTGCCGGAGTGACTGGCGCGAACTGAGGGTCGGGGCAGGATGAAATGGCGTCGTGTAGCATATTGTTAGCTTTTCAAAATATAGCATAATTCGCCGGGAATTTGAATCCTACGGTCTTGCCCCATCACCGATCTTACCCCAACGTACCTTAATACTTACTAACTGAATTTGCCATAGTGATAGCCGGTTTTCACTAATCGCCTCCTTTTCATAACTCCCCTCGACCTTAAACGCGACCCTCGCTAGTTCCGACGTGAACGAGATGGGTAAGGTTAAGCCAGAGATTATCAAACTTATTTCTTTTACCGCCGCCTTTGAAAATCAATCATTTTTCAGCGCCTCCCAACTTTTTATGCACTCCTAAAACTTAAAAACCACAATTTCATTACTTTAATTAATTTAGTTATGGTGTGCTGTTATTAGTTGGTTCTGGTGTTTAAGCTTACATTCTAAACTAGACATTATTACCAGTGAGAGCAATTAAAACGCAACTTTATAATATTAATAATATATTTTAATCAAATTAAAAGAAACAATATAGATATGTAATCAATTTTAGTTTTAGAACTAATCTTATGAGATTGATGACTTTGATGATTTTTAACAAGTTTGTTGATATCAGGTTCGATTTTACTCAAAAACAGTCGCACGTCGCCGCGTTCGGTAACATGCAAACGATTTCTTTTTTAGTAAGCAGCGTTGTCACAGCCCTACATCCATGTTCACACAAATATGACGATGGAAATGCTATCAAATATAGTTGAACGATCAACCACAATCCAGGGTACAACTGCGGGATTGACTTTTGTAGCCAAAATTCTCGCTAGCCATTTTTGAATTTGATTTTTATTTCCTCGTTCGTTGTCAGTTCTATAAGTTCTTCTTGCAGTTGGGATGATACTGCTATGTTGACATTTGAAAAATAATCTAACTCTCAGTCTGGTATTTCCAATTTCAAAATGTCCTGAAATCTTTCAATGAAATCACTGTGGAGATTTTACAAATGTTGGCAGTAGACAAGCATGTCGTCGTCGTTACTGGATACTGATAAATTGGGAAAATTATGGAAATCACACGTCTACCGATATTCTTCTTGTGTACGAGCAGCTTGGCTACGAAAGCAGCAAAGACAATGTTTGTTTTTATTAAGTTCAAGTCATCGCCTTGAAGTTGGAGATT